TTCCGCTGCATGGGTTGCATCGAGCGGACAGCATATGTGGCATTATGCTAAGACGAGTATTTGTTATGTCAAAAGTGGTTATTCTCTTCCTCAGCAACACGTTATTTCTTCTAGTCTGTCTTATCTGGTGCATTGGTGGAAGGTTGTTTGGCAGCTGAATCTCCCAAGTAAAATCAAAATCTTTATTTAGGGCTTGTGTCTGAATCTTCTCTCCACTTGTGGAGGTCTTATTATTCGTGGCGTGGAGCTTTCGAATATATGCAGTTTGTGTGGGTGTTCCGGGGAGGACGTTCTCCATGTATTCTGGTCTTGTTCTGTCTCTCGTTCCATCTGGCTTCCGTCAATGTTTAGCCACCTTCTTCCTCGGTCACATGTTCCTAGTATTTTTATTTTGCTTTCTGATACGCAGGACCGATTGGCAACCCGCGATTTTGAAGAATTTTCTGTTATTCTTTGGGGCATGAATTTACGGAATGGGCTCTGTGTAGGCAGTTCTTTTCCCATGGGGGCTATGGATGGTTGGACGATACATTACATGGCTTCTTTCCACGTTGCACGTGCCTCTCGATCATTGTCTTCCGCTTCTCGTGGCTCTCGTCCAGTTTGTCAATGGCTCACTCCGGCTTACGGTTTCTCAAATTGAATATTGATGCCTCATTCTATCCCTCCTCGCTCCGCGCTGGTTTGGGGTATATTCTCAGTGACACTGTTGGTCGTGTTCTCTTGCTGGTTCTAAATTCCTTTCCCTTTGAGGTTCAGTCGATTTGGTAGAAGCTTTTGCTCTTGACGAGGGTATGTCTCTTGTGGTGTTGTCGTGTTTTCGACACCTCTTTTTGGAAACTGATTCGATGCGCTCTTTCTTGTTGCTTGAACATGGTATGGAGGACCGTTCGGAGGTGGTTAGCTTCCGTCGGATCTTCGTCAACGTTGTTTGCAACTCAGTTCTGTTTGTTTTGGTTTCACTCGCTGGGAGAGTAATGGTGCGGCTCACCAACTTGCTCGTTTGGTTTGAATAAGTGCCTCCTGTCATTTCTAAGATAGTTGTTTCTGATTCTGCTATTTCTCTTGTTTAGTTTCCGTGTGTTGTTTCACTTGTAAAAAAATAAAAAATTATATATTATACATAAATGTATCTTTTTATTTTTATTTTAATCAGTAACATTATATTTCAAAGAATATAATATAAAAAAAGTTGACTAATTTTCCACATTGACGGATCCATCGTCCACACTTTTATATATTGTTTATATGTTATACATAAAGATATAGATTTATATATATTTTTTATTTTAATCAATAACAATATAAGTCAAAGACTATTGTAAAAAAAATCTTACTAATTTTCTATATTTAGGGACAATGGAAGGAGTTGTATATATACTTTTAATATGTTGTGAAATTGAGAAATAGAACCAAGACACCGTTGACCCAATAAATAAAATTAAAGTAGAGGGAAAACATGAGGAATTTCCACGTGAATTTCTTATGTATGTGAGAGAGAAAGTGTAAAATAATTTCGTCCTCTTTTTGGTGTATTTTACGCACAGAATTCACCCCCTTTGATAGTATACAAGGTAGGCATACACCTTAGTGAGTAAGGGTTACGGACAACAATAAATAATATTCACAATACTCCTCGTTAAATTCTCCTTATTTATATGATATATGCCTCGTTAAAACCTTACTAGGAAAAAAATCCGATGAAAAAAATCTTACTAAAGGAAAAATAGTACATATTTCATATAATTTTAATAAACCAAAAAATACAATGTACTTGCTCCTCTTATGGAAACATCACTTGACATCTCTGAGTCGCCGAATTCACAATATTGTGTATCAAATTTTCAAATGTTGTAGTAGGTAATGCTTTTGTAAATATATTTGCCAGGTTATCATTCGAACAAATTTGTGGTATATTCATGTCGCCATTTTCTTCAAGACCATGAGTGTTGAAAGTGAAATATGCTTTGTTTTATCCCCTTTAATATATCCTCATTTGATTTGAGATATACATGCTGTGTTGTCTTCGTATAATATTGTTGGAAGATTTTTACTAGAAGACAAGTTGCATGTTCCATCTCAGCATGATTTGAAAAGGTTGTTGTTATTATCTGTTTCACCGATCTCCATGATATAGCTAGCTAGTACAAAATCAGGTTTTAATGACAAGATTGCCCGTCATTGAAGGGAAACGATGTCGAACATGCGTGCAATATCTTTTCGAGTGTTATTGTAACTTTTTATGTCAGGAGGGTATCAATGACGAGTCGGACCCGTCATTGTAGGTGACCGTGGAAATAATGACGGTCAATTATGATGTCGGTCATGGCCTGACATCTATTCTTGTGTTATTGTAGGATAATGTCGGTAATTAAATGCTCGTAATTGAATGTCCGTCATTAAATGTTTGTTTTCAATGGCCGGCAATGCCCGTCATTGCTTGGGTAATAATTTAATTAAAAAAAAATTATTGGTTGCTCATGTAGGCTAACCAACAATCTTTCTCAATTTCTTAACCTATGCAAAAATCTATAGTCTTCTCAAAAATGCAATTACTTACCCAAAACACAAGTATAATATAAACAACAGCCTTCTTCTTCTTTATACATAACTCAATAGACAATAAAGATTTACTACTCATTCATCAAACATAACTCAAACGAAAAAATATGTGTAACCACCTCTTTTACATAACTCGATAGACAATAAAGATTCAATTTTAATTCATCAAACATAACTCAAACAAAAATGTCAGAATTTTAGCATGACCTTTGTTCAAATATCCTAAAATCACATCTGCTAACTCATAAACCTTCTAAGGATTACACCCTTTGGTAGACCATCCGTGGAGAATTTGTAGTTGCAACTCAAGTATTCTCCTCATATAATGCCAATTGTTGAATGCGATATTCCTCTGTACAAAGCAAAATACTCTTTTGTAGAAAAGTCGATCTGTTACATACAGCTGAGCATAAACATAAATGGACATCAAAAGACAAAACTAAGCATTAAAATTAATCCAAATAGAAAAAAAATGTTCCAACAAACAGAAAGTCCATTAAGAAATTTGCTGACAAATGCATGAGAAGAGGGTAAAAATAAATTATAGAAACATACACTGATCATAAAGTCGATTCATATAATTCGGGGTTGACCCAACCAAATAACAATTCAACTGGATTTGCATATCTAGTCATAGACGATTGAGAAGATGCATCGAGATTTTTCGTATCCAACAAAATTCCTGCAAGCTAGAACAAAGGAGATTTATATTGAAAATTAAACCTCAAAGAATGCTTCTCTCAAAATTTGTTTCAAGAAGATGTACCATCCGAAATGGGTACAATGACTAAATAAGAACAGATGGAGAAGGGTGAAAAGGTTCACAGTATAAATAAAAAGCAAAAATAGTCTGTTTTAGTGGCATAACCTTGTCAATGGCATATTTTCATCTATTTGCTATAAGTACAGCCACTCTAATGCAAGAGCCAAATATCCGTCAAGTGTTTTCATTTCTTCCTAAAGGACACAAAAATAAATGTCAACTATTTTTATAATGCACTACGAGATTCAAAATAAGTAGTACATGCATGTCAAGCATTTCCTTTGCTCTAAATCTCATCACTTGCTTCTATTAATATCTTGCCTGTGAACAAAATAACATCTCAATTGGATATTGTATTATTAAATCACAAAATTAACCAAACAAATATAACTTTAATTAACTTTAGCAGATAAGGACCATTCAATTAACTTTTTCACATAATTAAACAATTCTCTATCTCTCTACAAGTTAAATTCAATGCTCCAATAATTCACTACTATAATTAAAGCAGGGCATTTGATATAGTTATTTTCAGATGATTAAGGATGCAACTCACAAAAGTCATCATATCCTACCATCTTTACTACATAACGAGCTTAAGGAATCTACAATAATATACTTTCATACAAAATTGTAAGATATCTTTTGTTTTTGGGTAAAAAAACCATAGTAATAGTTGAGATATGGAAGACATTAGAAATAACAGTGTACGCTACCATTGTGAAGAAACATTCGCAATCAGTAATGGCGTCAATGAAAAGCAGTTCATATAATATAAAAAACAAAAACAACAACAAACAAAAATAGCCACTAAATTTATAACATGTCGAGGAAGCAAATCTAGCAAGGAAATTTCTCAATTCTACTTCTAATTTTAGAAAAATCATATCAAATCTTAGTCGCAAAAGCTTGAGAACTCCTCAAGTTGTTCTCATATACCCAAACAACATTATTTCCTCCGTCAAGAACACCATTGCCAAACATTCTTAAGACCTGGCATATTAAAAAAGCGAACAAACAAAACCCCAATAATATAGAAAAGAATAATGTTTAGTAATGAGAAATGACGTATTCTCATTAACTTGATAAAATAATACATCAGAGGTCTATATATGTATACAAAGACTAAGCTCACTAAATACAATGTGAGCATAGCTGAATACATAACAGATTAACCAATCTGGGTAACAGTAATAACAAGTTTAACCTCTAATACTCCCCCTAAAGATGCGCAAAAAAGATCTAAAAGACCCATCTTGGTCATAAGAAATCGAAAAACAGAGAACACCAACGACTTAGTAAAATTATCTGCTAGCTGATGAGTGGAACAAACTGGTAAGAGGCGAAGAAAACCATCTCACACACAATCTCGAACAAAATGACAGTCCAACTCTTTATTTTTAGTGCATTCATGAAACACCGGGTTAGTAGCCAAGTGAATTGCTGCTTGATTATCACAAAATACTACAGCAGGTATGGGAACAGTAACTTGCAAGTCTTGAAGCAAATGAGAAAGCCATAGAAGTTCACAAGAAATAGCAGCCAAAGACCTGTATTCGGCCTCAGCAGAAGATCGTGATATAGTAGTTTGCTTTTTAGATTTCCAAGAAATCAATGATGTTCCCATAAACACACAAAACCCTGTAGTAGACCGACGAGTATCAGGGCAAGAACCTCAATCAACATCTGCATAAGTACGTAACTGAAAAGCAGAACTGGCATTAAGGAAGACACTTTGCCCTGGTGACCCCTTTAGATAATGCAACAAATATAAAGCTGCCTGATAATGAGTAGTAGAGGGCTTAGAAACAAACTGGCTAAGCCGATGTACAACATATGTGACGTCAGGCCTCGAGATAGTAAGATACAAGAGTCTACCAATGAGTATGCGATAAGAGGTGGGATCATGTAGAGGACTCCCATCAGCAAGACGAAGCTTTGTGGAGGGATCCATAGGAAGAGTTGTTGGTTTACACCCAAGCAGACCATACTCCTCAAGAAGAGTGAGGGTATAATGCCTCTGAGACAAACAAATACCCTTGGCAGTTCCAGCAATTAGCATTAGTCATATCAATATGATGAGCAGGCATATCATTTCGAAAATCAACGCCATTTGGCAAAACCAAGTCTGGAAAAGGGTCAATTGATACATCATTACCCGAGGATTCCAAAAATGGGAACTTAGTTTCATGAAAAATCACATCACGAGAGAAATAAGCGTTGAGTTTGAATATCAAATAGTCTATAACCTTTCTTCCCTGGTGGATAGCCAAGAAAAACTACCACACGAGATCTAGGTTCAAACTTTGTGCGATGAGAAGCTAAGGCAGAGGCATAGCACAAAGATCAAAAGGTTCTCAACATGGAGTAATCAGGATCAGTTTTATACAGGACTTGAAAAGAAGACTACCATTTCAAAATAG